TCATTAGAGTAAGGTACAAAATGATTCTTTCTCAGGCCACTTGTGGCCTTTATCCCTCAGTGCTGTGACACACAGCACATTACTGGAGCTTGTGTGATCCTCTGACAACTGTGTAGACATGTACCTCATTGCATCAAAGGGAATGTTTGAGATATCTTGCCTGACTCATGAGTGAAACTAAGAGATTTGCAGATAGATGTCCTGTTCACTGTCCTTCATCAGCACTTTCTCATCTTCAGTAATCAACCCACTCCCTCTCATTTCTGTATGCACAAATATTCAAGTAAGCATTTCTCAAGCAGCATTTGCCAATGGTACAGGACACATGAGAATGGATTTGGGAAAGAAATTCTTCATTTTGCTTTTAGTTATCACCATGAGCAAATTTCTGAAATGTCTTCAGATACTTTCTGGCCCTTTCGCACCATATACTCTCACTGCTCACCCACAGAACTGTCATTAGATATCCACTCTATAGCTGTGCTCAGTGCTTTATGACCCATAATCTGTTGGATAAATCCTGTGCTGTCTTGTCCTGGAGGAAATGACCAGAGACACCAAGGCTGAAAGTCTGGAAGGACATTGATGTTGATACCTAACCTCAAGGCCATTAGCCGCAATTCCCAAACGCAGTACCATGATCCAAGGCTGGATGGTTACAGGGCATAGTGCTCTAGGTGATTCAGGAGATGTGACTGTACAGCATTTCCAATAACCCAGAAGTCTTCTCTGAGGCACCTGCTTCTCTCACTCAACATCCTGGGCTGCATCTCAGGTCACTGTGGCTGGTACCTGGTGGAAGTTTTCATGGACCCCATGACGTTTAAAGGTTGTATCCCCACCTGCCATCTATCCTTCTCATGTTCTGAATCATCAAGTATGTTGCTCTACTTACTGCTGACAGCGTCTGTAAAATCTATCTATTTATTGCACAACAGAGGTTGAATACTTCCATATTAAAAAGATTTTAAAATGAAAGAATAAGAAGTCTACATTTTTGTCATGGTGTCATAAAGTTACCACAACAGAAAATATAAACAAAGGATATAATAACTGATTTGTAAAATGCTTCACAACACTAATAAAATTAAGAAAAGCTCAAAATTAAGAACACTATCTTTCAACAGTGAGTTTCTCTACATGGAAAGCAAATGAAAAATGTATGTTAGAAAGAAAGGGCAATTTCATATACAGAGAGACAGAAAAAGAGAAAACTCACCTATAATGTGGCAAATATGTACATATGGGTACAAAAGATCAATGATGGCATAGGCCATCATTGGAATCATGTAATTTGCAGTAGTAACAGGGAGATAGGTGCACATAGACAAGGGCTCCACAATGACCATTTGTGTGGAATAGTCCTTTAGAAGACATTCCTTGTAGCATGTGCATATGTGTGCAACTATTTTACTCACATTTACACTTCTGAATGTTGATCCACATGAGAATGAAAGAGATTTTAATATGAAATCTCCCATGATGGTGGTTAATACACTGGAAAAATTAGAAATAGACACCTGTCCAGGCACAACTGCCTGAGAACATGGGGACCCAGAAATCAAAACAGCACGGAGATAAATGTTAAAGAGAAAGGAAATGAGACAACACCACGTGGTTTTATTCACAGACAGGAATCCAGCTGTAAAACAGCCCATGTGGTGTGAGTGCTGTGATGGAGGTAGAAATCTGCCACACAGATTGCAGTGTGGGTGTCAAGAGCTTTTGGAAAAATGATCATGGCAACTTTGAACACTTCCATTAATGTGATACACGTTTTGAAAGGAAATCACATACGTGTCTAAGAAGGATAAATATATTCTTCAAAGTCTCAACATATGTAACAATAGTAGGATGTGAATTGAACTTTCTGAGTTGAAATATGCCTTTCATGAAACTGAGCTGAAACAACAAGGGAGATGTAGAATTTCCTCTACAAAAATCCTAAATTCAAGAGAGACTTGCTTCTCCATGGAGTAGGAACCTTCAAAGGATTGTGTAAGCCACAGGTACCTGGAGGTTCTGGTTTCTAGGAGTCTGACGTTCACCCAGGGCTAGTAAATCCTCTCAGGTTCCCCAGGTCTGGAGCAGGCACACAAGATTGAGTACCCTAGTACATAATCTAAATTCATTTATGACTGAGAACAAATTGCGATGTTGGAGATGGCATATTTGACAATATGTGTTCTGTCTCTGTCTCCACCTCCATCTCCTTCTCTGTCTCCTTTTCCCTCTCCCTCCCCTTATCAGTCTCTCTCTCTCTCTTTCTCCTCTCTCTCT